TTCTTATATTAACTAACGTACTCTACGATTAGCTCAGTGAATAATAATAAAAAAAAACATAGACCCAGCTAGAACAAGCGGAGTGATACAAAATTGTGAAAGGGCGTTCCTGTGGCGATACCAGTATAATATCTCACGGTTCTCAACCAATCAGATTTGAGAACCAGAAAGAACTGTTGTGTATATGCGTGTGTGTGTGTGTGTGTATATATATATATATATAATATTAGTATACAGTATATAGTATACAGTATATAGTATATTTAGTACTTGGTTATATTCTAAACTTGTCTAAGCTTGTCAAAAAAGCTTTCAAACAGTATCATGAAGCAGAATAACAAACGCCTGTTTGACTGTAATCCAGGTCTTATGATAGTTTTGAGTGAGAAACATACCCAAATATAAGTTATTAACAAGCTTGACTATTTGTGCCGAGTTTGAATGTGGCAGAATGAGTGAGATTTGGTTATCAATGAATAGCAACTGTTGTATGACTTGAAGACATGAAATATAGAGCATGAGTCTTTTATTGTACTTTTAGGTCCTTTTTTAGAGTATGAGACCTTATGGAGAACATTGAATGATTAAATAATGGTGCAATTTTAGCCAAACTAACCATTTAATTGCAGAATATGAGCAGAGAAGTTAAATAAATGTTATGAGCGTCACGTAAGTAGGGAAATGAGCCAAGAGCTGAGAGTTTTGAGAAAGGAGCTGAGCAACAGAAGTGCGAGATGGAGCGGTTTGCAGGTTGTTTTCTGCTGCCATCAGCAGAATCGTTTCATGCGAGTTTCTCTTCAGCGATTAATGTGCTGACACATGGCAGAAAATGACGACGCCTCCATATAATTATCCTCCAAATATAACTGCAGCTCAAATCCCAGAGCGGCCCGTCTGCCCACAAACAAACTCTCATTTCATCACTTTAATCACTGACGACAGAGAATTAATTAGGATTATTCTGATGTCTCCAAAAGCCTCTGGTTAAACGCAAACAAGCGGCTGCACTTTCACAAGGACACTAGGGGTCTCTCTCGCTCCACCGAAGAAACCGGGAGTTTGGTGGAGAGGGAGGGAGAGAAAAGAGGGCAAATAAAGGGAAAAAGAAACAGCTTGGTGGAAAATGAAGAACGTATGGAGTTTGTTTCACACCAGGTCAAGATGGCAGATTTCTCACAAATGGACTGTCTGGAAAACCTCTCAAATATCAGATGTAAACACACAGGTGTCGGCTTTTTAAAACCTCTTTCACACACATACTCAAAATATTTAGACCTAAATGTAGGATTTATGCATTTGAATGTCCATCCATTTGGATTACACAGAATATTATCCTGAAAAAAGTATCACAGGTTCCAAAAAAATATTAAGCAGCACAACAGTTTCCAGCACTGATAAATAAATCAGCATATTAGAATGATTTCTGAAGGATCATGTGGCACTGAAGACTGGAGTAATGATGCTGAAAATTCATATAATGAAAATGCATTCATAATAATGTATTTTAACATAGAAAAACGTTATTTTACATCATAATAATATTTCACAATATTAACGCCTGTTTGACTGTAATCCAGGTCTTATGATAGTTTTGAGTGAGAAACATACCCAAATATAAGTTATTAACAAGCTTGACTATTTGTGCCGAGTTTGAATGTGGCAGAATGAGTGAGATTTGGTTATCAATGAATAGCAACTGTTGTATGACTTGAAGACATGAAATATAGAGCATGAGTCTTTTATTGTACTTTTAGGTCCTTTTTTAGAGTATGAGACCTTATGGAGAACATTGAATGATTAAATAATGGTGCAATTTTAGCCAAACTAACCATTTAATTGCAGAATATGAGCAGAGAAGTTAAATAAATGTTATGAGCGTCACGTAAGTAGGGAAATGAGCCAAGAGCTGAGAGTTTTGAGAAAGGAGCTGAGCAACAGAAGTGCGAGATGGAGCGGTTTGCAGGTTGTTCTCTGCTGCCATCAGCAGAATCGTTTCATGCGAGTTTCTCTTCAGCGATTAATGTGCTGACACATGGCAGAAAATGACGACGCCTCCATATAATTATCCTCCAAATATAACTGCAGCTCAAATCCCAGAGCGGCCCGTCTGCCCACAAACAAACTCTCATTTCATCACTTTAATCACTGACGACAGAGAATTAATTAGGATTATTCTGATGTCTCCAAAAGCCTCTGGTTAAACGCAAACAAGCGGCTGCACTTTCACAAGGACACTAGGGGTCTCTCTCGCTCCACCGAAGAAACCGGGAGTTTGGTGGAGAGGGAGGGAGAGAAAAGAGGGCAAATAAAGGGAAAAAGAAACAGCTTGGTGGAAAATGAAGAACGTATGGAGTTTGTTTCACACCAGGTCAAGATGGCAGATTTCTCACAAATGGACTGTCTGGAAAACCTCTCAAATATCAGATGTAAACACACAGGTGTCGGCTTTTTAAAACCTCTTTCACACACATACTCAAAATATTTAGACCTAAATGTAGGATTTATGCATTTGAATGTCCATCCATTTGGATTACACAGAATATTATAACATAAATGAGCTAATAAACTTAATGTGATCCAGATTTGTCAGTCACAAATAAACAGGTCAGATTTCTGTAACAGCACTAATAAACTGAATGCGTTTTAAACACAATAACCAGTTTTATGTATTTGTCAATAAAACCGATTTGTTTCGGTCACATATATTTTAACAAATTAAATATTGTTTGTTCCACAGCTTTTTTTTTTTTTTTCATGTTTTCTGGTTTCATTTTAATTTGTAGTCAGAGTGTTTTTGTCTATATAGTTTTGATTAAATTCTATTTATGTTTTAGTTATTTTAATGCATCAAGTTAAACTAAATGAAAATGATAAATGTTGCCTCTGAAATTTACTGACAAAATACGTTTGTGTTTGATTTCAGTTAACATTTTATTTCAAGTAATAAAATAGTTTTTTTTTTATGTTTTACTTTATTTATAATAAGTCTTTTTAACTGAATACATGTTTTCACAAAGATTTGTGCTGATTCTAAGCAATTTGAATAAATGCATTTTGAAAATTTGATCATTTAAATAATATAGATGCAGATAGCTAATAATAACTGCCTTGATTTCTTTTTGAGTGTAGAAATCTGACTTTTTTCTTACCTGTTTCATGTAAGACAGACAAATATGCTTCACATTAAGTTTATTTGTTTGTATTAAAAACTATAATTCAAAAGGATGGAAAATTTGTATTCACATACTTAAATCTTATATTCTTTGAGTGCACATGCATTAAAATGACATCTCACTACACACTTATACACAATCCCATATGGGCTGTGTTTCAAAACTAGTGAGCTGCCTGCCTAAACAGCATTTCTGGGCATCATAATCCAGTTTTGATGGATAAAATTGTCTATAGTGTCTCATTTTGAAAGGTCACTGGAGGTCATCATGGGCGGCTGGTGTGTGTGACCCTGTGCCAGTCAGTGTGATGAAAGTCTCTTATTTTATTTTATGAACTCGCCGCTCAATATCTCTGTTTGGCTTCTTTCTGAGCTTCAGAATCTCCTTACTGATGCTAGTTGAACACAGATTGACGTCTCTCTGTCTCTGTCTGTCTCTCAGGCCTCAGTACTATAAACTCATTGATGAGTGTACGGCTCAGATCGTTCTGCACAGGAACGGCTGTGATCCAGACTTCAAATGCAGGAAGTTTGACCTGGAGGTGGACCATCTGATTGGTAAGAGACAAACACAAGACACTCTAATGCCACATTTAGCCACTGGGTGGCAGCGTTCAGAAACTCCCACAAAACATCAGAACATCTCAAATCCCATCCAGAATAATCCAGCGTGACATTGAGAGTGCTCACAAACAAGCTCTTTAGGATTTAGTCAAAATAAGCTCATTTTGTCATTAGCATGTCGTGTTTGTCTGAGACGGCTTCTGGTTTGGCTCACTTTAGCTGTGTGGGTCTGATGTTTGGCCTAAAGTTTCTCCAGGTTCACTCAAAAAATATTTAGGCCTAAGATTTGTGTATTTGAATCGCAAAAATGTCCATCCATTTGGATTGCACAGGTTTAACATAAACTACATATAACATAAGCTTAATACGATGCATATTTTTCAGTTTTCTGTAGAATACTAGTAGCCATATTTTAACCATGTTCTTACTTTTTAATTGAATAAATATAATTGTATAATTAAATATATAATTTAATATAACTATAAATATATAATTGAAAACTAACATTCTTCCTTCCATAATACTTCAATATTTATAAACTTCCTTCTTCCTTTCACATTTCCTTTTGAACTTCCTTGCAAATTTTCTTTCCATACTTCCTTCCATATTAACTTTCATATTCCCATCTTTCCTGTCATACTTCCTTACTTCCTTTTGAACTTTCATGCATACTTTGCTCTGTATTTCTGAACTCTCTTTCAAACGTCCATCTGTTCTTCTATCCTTCCTTTCAAACTTAGTTCCATACCAATGTCCATATTTTCTTCTTTCCTTTTGAACTTACTTCCATTCTACTTCCATAATTCCATTACTCATAATGAACTATTTCAATCTTCCTTTCAAACCGTCCATCTTTCCTTCCAAACTTCCTTCCATACTGACTTCCATACTTTCATCCCACCTGTCATACTTCTGTACAGCCCTGTGCTTCCATACATCCTTTCCTCTGTACTTCCGGACTTCTTTTTATCTTTCCTTATGAACTTCCTTCCATGCTACTTCCATATTTCCAGTACTCCTCTTTAACTCTTTCAAACTTCTTTTCAAACTTCTTTCCATCTTTCCTTCCAAACTCTGTACTTCTGAACATTCTTTCAAATTTCCTTCCTTCCAAACTCTGCACTTCCATACTTCCTTGTTTTCTTTCATCTTTACTTATAAACTTCCCTCCAAACTTCCTTTTGTACTTCCTTCTGAACTTCTTTTCAAACATCATTCCATACTTCCATTCTTCCTGTCATACTTCCTTACTTCCCTTTGAACTTCCATGCATACTTTGCTCTATACTTCAGAACTTCCTTCCTTACTTCCATCCTTCCTTTCATACTTCCTTTTGTACTTCCTTTCAAACATCATTCCATACTTCCATCCTTTCTGTCATACTTCCTTAATTCCAAATGAACTTCCATGCGTACTTTGCTCTCTACGTCTGCACATGCTTTCAAATTTCCTTCCTTGCGAACTTCCTTGTGTAATCTCCTTTGTACTTCACATTTTGCTTGCATACTTCCTGCTGTACTTCCATTCTCACTGCCACCTGTGATCTCATTATCATATCTCACTAGAAACCTCTCTCATTGGCTGCTGACGTCAGCGCTGACCCTCTCGCTGTCTGACTCACCGGTTAAACTAAGCTTTGTTCGCTTTCCTGAGACTCTTTTTGGGTTGTGACGCCACACATGCGAGTGATATTGATCTGGAGTTCAGAGAGACTTTAGGGTTTGAGAACAGACACAGAAGAGTTTTCCAGGAGCTTTAGATGTATGAATGTATGCTGCCCTTTGTGTGGTGATTTCAAAGACACTTTTGGGTTTCTTATTTTAGCATGAGTTTGAGATGGGATGAAGTGAGCAGCAGATTTTAATTAGATCGTTCAGTAATCAGAGCACGAATCACAAGAGGAAAAGAGACTCGTCGCAGTGAAGGGCACTTTACACACACACCTCTAAAACTGTCTATTCACTCGCTGCCTGTCTCTCTTTCTTTCTAGATAACATGGTTGATAAGACCAAAGTGGAAATCAGTGAAGCTAAGGCCACAGAGCTGGAAAAGAAGGTATTGACACAGATAAACACGCTCTTGAGTCTGGATGAATGACACACAGATTTAAACTAAATCATTGTCTGCTGAAATGCATCGAACGGGGCTCCAATATCGATCAACAACAGCAGATTTACTGCGACACATATACACACACACACACACACACACACACACACATGCAGCCACTGCTCCCAGATGTCCCCCGCCGTCTCAGCGCGCCTGTCAGTTGACAGATGTGTAATTTGAGAGATGAGATGAGCAGAACGGAGATTTCCTGTCTCTTCCTGACATCTTCCCTCCAAACTCACCAAATACAGTCTACAATTACCCTGCGTGTGTGTGTGCCTTTATCTGTATGCATGTACTGTTGTGTGTGTGTGCATCTTGTGTGGGTTTCTAAAAAAAACTAAACAAAAAAAAAATATATATTTCACAGCCAAATCCAAAAAAAGGAAGAAAGAAAATACAGTCTATTAATATTACAGTTAAGGTTTTTTTGTTTTTGTTTTTTTGCGTTGTGATATTTTTTCATGACAATTAAGCAAAATTAGCCCTCAAATTCTCATTACCATGATGCATCCTGTTGTTTTACTTTTTTTTGTGTCACTCTCACTAATGATTCAAATTAGATTCTCATTACTGTAATACAGTGTTTTCCTACTGTATTACAATTAAAAATGGCTTATTTTATGTAATTACTTTTTTTTTTACAAATTTTTTAGTTATCACCAAAATTAAATGCAATGCAGTGCAACAAATTCTACCATGATGTATAAATGTTACATGTTTTTTTTCACATGACATTAATGACCATGAGATTTTTATGTTCATGACACACATTTAACCTTAAAATTCTCATTACCATAATTCATCATGGTGTTCTACTTTAATTTTATTGTGTGCAACTCAATAATGATTCTTCAATTCTCATTACTGTAATGCAGTGTTTTCTTACTGTATTACAATTTAAAATGACCAATTTATGTAAAGATTATGTAAAAATGTTACAGATGTATGTTATGCATTTTTTACATTATTGCAATGAAAATTAATTTATTTTCACAACAATTAAGCATTAAGTTCTCAATACGAAACATTATAATGAATACTTTCATTACCATAATAAAAAAAAAAAAGAGACCGAAGCAGCAGTTGTGAGTGGGGTGGCCAACTCTAGCTTCACCCCTGCGTTAATTAAACCTGAAGAAAAAAATTTTTTTTAAAAAAAGGCAGGGTATGTGATTTTTCAAAAACACTTTAGAAAACTGATTTGGGCCGAATAGCAAAACAAACTTGTAGCCAATCAGCAATAAGGGGCGTGTCTACTCGTGATGTGGAGGAGTGGATACATTTTATGCATATATTACTGCAATGCACTGTTTTTATAAGCTGAAAGGCAGTACAAATACAAAATACAGTTTAAATCTCTAGTAAATCAATGAATCTTTTATAAACAAAGATTTCTTTAAGCAAACTATAATTTTCTTTTTTACGTTTTTGGGGATGCAATTTGACCATGACACATTGTTGACAGGTTTCCTGAGATTTACCCTTCTGTGTGTGTGTTTTTCTCTGTCACAGCTCAAATAAAGTAAACACTGCAATACTCTCTGCTTTACTTCTGCATTTGCATGAGTGTGTGTCCTATCGGGCTTGTCAGGCGAGTGTTTACTCTTCCTCTCTCTCTTCCCCTCCTTCCCTTTCTAATTCAGAGTAATAGCTGTGTGTCGTCAGAAGAGCGACAGCAAACGACTCTCATTACTAACACATGGAGCAAGTGTGTGTGTGTGTGTGCGCATATGACCCTCCCATTTCCGCTGCTGTCACGTAATTGCATGTCTGGCTTGCAAACACCCGCCGTCAATGTCACCGGAAATTGTCAATGTCTGTCTGTGTGAGGCAGAAGGACAGATTTTGTGGAAGTTTGTGAGGTGAATACTAAAATCCATAGAGACTCCATTTCGGCTCAGATTTGTTCTTGAATCCGTCCTCTGAGTCGCCCGCGCTGACAACAACAAACCCCCTTGATAGTGATAAATTGAGGGTCACTGTGTAAACACGGGTCACCTGAGAGTTTATTGATAACACAATATATCACTTCGGTCAAATGAAGATTCATACTGTTTTAGCAGAATACACTGCACAGTATACAAACACACTGCCCTGCTTATGATTCTGCATGCGATGCGCTTTACTTGACCTTCTGGATTACAGCAGAGAATTATACATGCAATGTAATGAGATCATGTGATGTGTAGCATATTGCGGTTTGAAATGTTTTTAGCATATTATTTATTTTTTAAATGCTGTATATAGTATGCACTACTGTTCAAAAGTTCGGTGTCAGTAACATTAAAAAATAGATTCATACTTTTATTCAGAAAGAACTGAACTTTTAATCCACTTAAAAAAACAATGTTCAATGCTCAATACTGATAATAATAAGAAATGTTTTTTGAGCTGCATATCAGCATATTAGAATTATTTCTGAAGGATCATGTGACACTGAAGACTGGAGTAATGATGCTGAAAATTCAGCTTTGATCACAGGAATAAATTACATTTTACAATATATTTACACAGAGAACTGTTATTTTGAATTGTAATAATATTTCACAATATTACTGTTTTTGCTGTAAATTTAATCAAATAAATGTAGTCTTGGTGAGGAGAAGACAACAAGCATAAAAAAAACATACAGACTCCAAACTTTTGAGATCTCAAACCATTCAAAAGGTTTTCGCTTAACTTGTATTTGTCAGAAATGTGTTCTGTAATTCAGATGTATGTGGTTCTGATGATGGATGCTCTGTTCTGTGTAGCTGGACGCAGAGTTGACGGCCCGTCACGAGCTGCAGGTGGAGCTGAAGAAGTTGGAGGCCGATTACGAGCAGAAGGTTCTGGAGCTGAGCACTGAGAAAGAGAACCTTGGGCAAGAGAAGAATGACCAGGAGAAAGAGAACCAGGGCCTGCAGTCAGAGATCAGCCAACTGAATAAGAAGGTACAGGACTGTAACATCACACCGACAGGAAATAATGTCATTTCTGCCCTACATAACTTTGGCTCAACCAATGGCGTGAGTTTAGGGCAGGACTTCCTGTTCGTTTAAATTTGTTTAAAAACAGTGGACTCTTTTCACATTACTGGGATTTTCAGAAGCAGAAACAATATACAACGGCATTGTAGGCTACTCTCCCAGGAAACACTCCTCGTCCTCCATTAAATGCGTTGCTTACATCCGCATATTTGGGTTGAACTGTTCTGGAACAGTGTTGTAAATACAACTTAACCATGA